GATGATGGATGGATGGATGGATGATGGATGGATGGATGATGGATGGATGGATGGATGATGGATGGATGGATGATGGATGGATGGATGATGGATGGATGGATGGATGATGGATGGATGGATGATGGATGGATGGATGGATGGATGATGGATGGATGATGGATGGATGATGGATGGATGGATGGATGATGGATGGATGGATGGATGGATGGATGGATGATGGATGGATGGATGATGGATGGATGATGGATGGATGGATGGATGGATGGAAGGATGGATGATGGATGGATGGATGGATGATGGATGGATGGATGGATGATGGATGGATGATAGATGGATGATGGATGGATGGATGGATGGATGGATGATGGATGGATGATGGATGGATGGATGATGGATGGATGATGGATGGATGATGGATGGATGGATGATGGATGGATGATGGATGGATGGATGTATGGATGATGGATGGATGGATGATGGATGGATGATGGATGGATGGATGGATGGATGATGGATGGATGATGGATGGATGGATGGATGATGGATGGATGGATGATGGATGGATGGATGATGGATGGATGGATGGATGATGGATGGATGGATGATGATGGATGGATGATGGATGGATGGATGGATGGATGGATGGATGATGGATGGATGGATGATGGATGGATGATGGATGGATGGATGGATGGATGGATGATGATGGATGGATGGATGATGATGGATGGATGGATGGATGATGGATGGATGGATGGATGGATGGATGATGATGGATGGATGGATGGATGGATGGATGGATGGATGGATGGATGGATGGATGGATGGATGGATGGATGGATGGATGATGGATGGATGGATGGATGGATGGATGGATGGATGCAGCCTGTTAAAGAGGTCAAATGTTCTGGTTCTGAATTGAACCGCCTCTCATTCTTTCTCACATCTAATTCTTCAACACGTACTTCCTGTTGGGTCCCTGAGGGGCCCCTAAGGGCCCCTGAACTTCGCTCTAGGATGCAGTAAACCGATGCTCCCCCTGAGCAGCCGGGTCCAAAGGGCGCCACCTCTGTGTCTGTGACACGCAGAGAGCTTTAGAGACATTACCTCTGCTGCTCCTCATCTGTTTAGATGACCGCCGTCGCCATGGAGACCCACTGAGCTCACACCCAAACGTCATCATCCTCCTCTTCCTCCCGGGCTGGAATTAACCAGGACTCAGCTGGACAGGGAGGTGAGGAAGAGTTTGGACAAGACGGCCCGAAGAAAGGAGACATGGAAGCTGCTGGGCTTTAAAATGGGGCCCCTAGGAGCCACTGACCGGGTTCAACCTGCAGTCTGGAGCCATTTTCAGGAGAAACTGGTCCCTCTCTTAAACCCGGGGTCCAAAGTGCTGCCTGCAGGCCACATGGGGCCCCTAGGAGCCACTGATCGGGTTCAACCTGCAGTCTGGAGCCATTTTCAGGAGAAACTGGTCCCTGTCTTAAACCCGGGGTCCAAAGTGCTGCCTGCAGGCCACATGGGGCCCCTAGGAGCCACTGATCGGGTTCAACCTGCAGTCTGGAGCCATTTTCAGGAGAAACTGGTCCCTCTCTTAAACCTGGGGTCCAAAGTGCTGCCTGCAGGCCACATGGGGCCCCTAGGAGCCACTGATCGGGTTCAACCTGCAGTCTGGAGCCATTTTCAGGAGAAACTGGTCCCTCTCTTAAACCCGGGGTCCAAAGTGCTGCCTGCAGGCCACATGGGGCCCCTAGGAGCCACTGATCGGGTTCAACCTGCAGTCTGGAGCCATTTTCAGGAGAAACTGGTCCCTGTCTTAAACCCGGGGTCCAAAGTGCTGCCTGCAGGCCACATGGGGCCCCTAGGAGCCACTGATCGGGTTCAACCTGCAGTCTGGAGCCATTTTCAGGAGAAACTGGTCCCTCTCTTAAACCTGGGGTCCAAAGTGCTGCCTGCAGGCCACATGGGGCCCCTAGGAGCCACTGATCGGGTTCAACCTGCAGTCTGGAGCCATTTTCAGGAGAAACTGGTCCCTCTCTTAAACCTGGGGTCCAAAGTGCTGCCTGCAGGCCACATGGGGCCCCTAGGAGCCACTGATCGGGTTCAACCTGCAGTCTGGAGCCATTTTCAGGAGAAACTGGTCCCTGTCTTAAACCCGGGGTCCAAAGTGCTGCCTGCAGGCCACATGGGGCCCCTAGGAGCCACTGATCGGGTTCAACCTGCAGTCTGGAGCCATTTTCAGGAGAAACTGGTCCCTGTCTTAAACCCGGGGTCCAAAGTGCTGCCTGCAGGCCACATGGGGCCCTGGCAGTGATTTAGTCTGGACCCCAACAGTAATTAAAGAACAGCCCATTAGTGCCTTCTGGCTTCTTTGTTAGCCTGCAATGCCCCATACCTGTCTATGTCTCTGAAAGGGGGTCATTAGAGGGAATAGTTGACCTGCCTGACCAGGCGAGGTCTTCTGTTCTCCTGTAAAGGGGTTGGAGTCGCCATGTGTTTTTTCTGAACCAAAACCAGGCTTTGTTGGGCTGCTGGATAAAACCTGGAACTAAACACTATTTCTGACATTTAGAATTGAAAAAGTTTCCTGGATGGAAGAGAAACGTCTTCAAACTATGGAAACAAAGTAGGCTAAGTTAGCAGGCTAGCCGTCTCTGCTGGGAGGACAGGCTAGCTACACTGCTGTTTCTAATTAACACCAAAATAGCAACGACAACAAGCTACAACTAGAACATTCTACAGTCGTCTTTGCTTGTCTTGTACTCCTCCTTCACCCATGACACCAGCTCATATGCAGGTAAAACGACAAAATCTTTGTCCCCTCTCAGCTCCCGTAATCAACGGCGGGGACACAACATGGCGTCTTCCTGTGGACGCACCGCCACCGCCATGAACAATTCAATCTAAGCTATAGTAGACGCCTTTAGTTTTTGATCTGATTATTATAAGACTAACAGAGGATGGATTTATGAAAGAAGTATTGAATTTATGTGAATGTAGGACAAAATAGCAAAAAAGACAAAAAGAAAAACACTCTAAGTTGCTTTAAGCTAAGTTCATGGAGGCGAAGAAACCTTTGATTAATCTCAGCATCAACAACCGGATGGATTTGAGCCGCTTTTAATAATCCAACCTTCCTCTTTTGTAATTTCAGATGTCGATACTTTTATCATAAATTAAACAACATTTCTAAATCAGAAGTGAGGGAAAACCGAGACTTTTTCAGTTAGTAAAAACTTTCATTCTTTTTTTGGTATTCTATAGAAATTGGAGCAGAAGACGCTTAACAAATGGTTGAGCAATTTAAAACACAAAAATATGTAAAAAGAATAATTGTCATTTTGCAAGAACATCAGGAGGTTTTAAACGTTATTATTGCGCAATTCGGCCTCGGCAGATGGCCGCTCATACTGAGCCTGGTTCTGCTGGAGGTTTCATCCTGTTCAAAGGGAGTTTTTCCTCTCCACTGTCGCTACAAGCATGCTTAGTGTGAGGAATTGCTGAAGAGTCAATGAGTCGATGCAATCAGCTGGTTTTCCTTAGATAGAAAAATTTGAATCAATCTGACTGGATGATCTGGTTGAACTGGAAAGTGAGCTGAGATGACATGATGTGAATTGGATCTATAGAAATACACTGAATAGAATTGCAATTTTTAAACACAAAAATATTTAAAACTTGAAACCAGTAATAATTTAAACAGGTTATAGTGTTTAAGAAATGTTATTCTGTCAGATTTTTTTCCCAGCAGCAGTGAGAAGTTTCTGGAAATAAACATTAGTTGTGTTTTTTTTAAGTTTCCTGAGGTCCAGGATGGCGTCACATATATTTCCAGGCTTTAACTCTCATCATCCGGCCCACATGATTATAGACTGGAGTCGTGCTGCTGGCCACGCCAACATCATAAACCTGCCTCAGTCTGCTCTGTCAGATGAGCATACCCCCTCAGACCAGCATACCTATAGTCGATACACATGAGCAAGACCTCATTTGCTTTTAACCCTTTAGTTTCAAAAGAAAAATAGACTTTAAACTACCTCAACAGGCGTGTATCCCATTAGTCATGTACAAAAAATAAAAACAATTTAAGGTCAGATCGTCATACGCTTCAAAAATACCAAAAAGTAAGCAATTAAATAGTTTTTTTGTACATGAAAAAAAGGGATAAACGCCTGTTAAGGTAGTTTAAAGTTTATTTTTAGTACAAAACTAAAGGGATAAACTAAAGGAATAAATGGGTATTGACTATGGGTATGCTGATCTGACAGACCACATGTGTTCTGTCAGCTCAGCATACCCTATGTTGAACTGACAGGCGTGTATCCCTTTATTCATGTACAAAAAAACTGTTTAATTACTTACTCTCTGGTGTTTTTTTGAAGTGTATGGCGGTAGTTGAAAGTCTATTTTCGTATAAAACTAAAAGGATAAACGGCTGTTGACTATGCACTGGAAAAAACGATCAACAAATAAGTGAAAATTTCCTAAATTAAGTGTATTTACCCTTAATTTGAGTAGGTACATGAGATAGTTTGCTAATGGAATGAGTATTTTTAATCTTAAAGTAAGATAATTAGATAACATGCACTTGAAATAAGACAATGTAATTGTGTTTTCTTATTTTAAGTTTAAATTGTTTTGTTCCATTGGCAAAATCTCTCTTTTACCTCCGTAATCCAAGAACAAATGCAGTCATTTTAATAAAAAATGACTTATCTAGATGTTTATTTTTCCCAGTGTTGGTATGCTAGTCTGACAGTCCACCAGCCACCCTCTGCTCTGTCAGGTGGGGGCTTTGTTAGAACCTGGGGCCGCTTTCTCCCTCTTTACGCCCCTGCTCGTTGAAACACATCAACTTTAGAGAAAAAAAAATGTCATCATTTCCTTTGTGAAGTTCCTCCTTTGCATTTAAAATGGCACCGATACTTTAAGGATTTTGACTTTATATAAAGAGAAGGAAGACCTCTTCGGCAGCAGAAAGTAACAAATCGGACACTTACTTTGTATTTCATCCTCCTTATCGGTGAAAATCCACTGAATTAACCAACAAATATCCGATTTACGGCGAAGAACCGCGAGTCATCCAAAAAAAAAAAAAAAAAAAAAAAAAAAAAAAACAGCCGAGCGGAGAGGTTCTTCCTGTCGGTTACCGATCCATCCGGAGCCAAATCCACGCAGAAACACGCAGAGGTCCGTCCGTGATCCGCTCCACCGCAATCTGCCCCGCTCTGACCGGACTGTGGAGGAGAGAGGAGAGGCTGCGGAGCCCTGCTGCTCACACGGCCGCTGATTGGTCAGCACCGCCGCCCGAACCCGCCTATTCAGAGCATCACGTCATCCTCAGCGATTTCCAAAATAAAAGCCAACCTAAACGAAACAGAAGTATTTTTATTTTGAAATATGTACACGTTTGTTAAATAAGATTAAAACAATATTCAACTTGTGGAAAAATAAGATAGATAACTAATATTATTTTAAAATATATAATACACGGTATGGACATTTGGGTGTGTCAATTGAAGAGCAAACAGGCAAATAAAATTAAGCAGATCAGCACTTCTCTAAATAACTAAAAATGTCCAAAATTAATAACTGTCAAAGCTAAATTAGAAAACAGGAATTGAAAATCAAAAAAAGAAGCTTTAAATGGAAAAAAATACCCATAACACAAAACCAAAATACTATGTGGTTTCCAACATGTGTTACTCAGAGTATACTGGTGCAACACAACAAAAAGATGAGTCATTAAAATATTTAACAGAGGATATATAAACTTCCTCTCGTACTATAGGATTATATATTATCTCTATCTTCTTATCCTAAAAAAACATGGAATATTTAAAAAGGATGCATTTTAAAATTCATTAAGTAAGTTTGAACTGTATGGCATAAAGATGAAGAAAACTGATGTCAGTAATTGAAATAATGATAATACTGATTGTCCAGCTGGGAGGTTCTTCGCTAAAATGCAAGTCGCATGTTTAGATTCTCAGGATGTCCTTTAGAAATAGTATTTTTTCTATCAGAGATCCTTATCAATATTTCTTCAAGGAAAAGTCTGGTCATATTCATAGTTCAAACTTCTGAAAGTTCTTTAAATCTGAAATGATTCCACCCTGTTCAATAAATGATCAGTGTTTTTAATTCAGAGTAATTTTCATGTGAATGTGCTTTACTGGAGGCATCCATGTTTGTCAAAGAACACTACTGCCACCTACTGGTTAGTGACGTCACGGTGCGGTATCGGCTGTTGATCAAGTCCCGGTGCTGTATCTGGTGTTTGTCACAACGCGCTATTATCCAAGTCATCTTGAAAACATTCTTCTTCCAAATGTTGGCTACATATTACGTGTTTTTTCTCTGGCCAGAAGTTCGATGGCAAATCCTCCCTCTTCAAGTTGGCGATCCAACGACCAACCCGTCCGTGGAGGATCAGGAATCGGAAAGGTGGAATAACTCTTTTTTTTCACTTTTACCCGATGTATTCCAGCATCCAGCTGCCATGCACGTGGGCATTGTCAGTTTCACTATAGCTCTGGTGAATTTCAATGGTGAAGTCCTCTGGAAATCTTCAATAATTGTTGTTGATTGCAGATGTGTCTAGTAGTTCCCATTGATTTAGCTTGGAAAGCGGGGAGAATGGCGCTAGGCTTACCGCACCGTGACGTCACTGCTGGAAGATGGCAGGAGGGAGGGGCTACTATATTATGGGGAAAAATGGCCGCTCTCTACGACGGAGTATTAGAGCCAGGCTAGAGATTTTTTTCTTCTATTACAAGAATAAAGTCATTAAATTGCCAGAATAAAGTCATAATATTAAGACAATAAAATCCTTAAATTATGAGAATAAAGTTGTATTTCATGCCAACTCTTCCAAGAAGCCCTTTCTTCCCTAAAATGAGGAATGTGGAGCATCATGTAAAGTTCTACTTTAGCATTGGTTTGACAAATCAGTAAATCTTTTAGCAGCAGCATCAAACTAGGCAGGATGTCAAAGTGGACTCTGGTTGCTGATTGGTGGAGCTGGTCGGCCGTCATCTGCTGGGCGGAGCTCCAAGCTTTCTTTCTGAAACGGGGTCGTTTTATGATGACTTTATTCTCAAATAAATAAATAAAACAATCTCTAACCTTGCCATAATACTCCGTCGCAGCTCCAAGACTCAGGTGTCGCAATTAAAATATTTTTTTTTTTTTTTACTGATTAACGCTAAATTCATTCAATCACCACAAACCTATTAGTTTTAGGAATAGATAATGACCCATTTGTCATTCCTTGCTTTTCATTTAATAAATATACATACAAAACCTAAAATAAACTTTTAGAAGAGGCTCAAAGCTTCATTGTATTCTCAGATAATAAATGTCTGATGAGATCCAGTCATGCTGTGATAAAATCAGATGTTTGAGGATGTTTGCAGCCAAAACATGCAAACTTGTTCAAAGAAAAAAAAAAAAAAAAAACACCTTAACATTTAGTTTAAGCTTCCTTTTTCAGAAGTCCTTCATCAAAATGAAGAATGACTTCATGCAAAAAGTCCTTTCTGTTCAATCGTATTTAGAAAAGCATTTATATTTTAACCCCCCCCCCCCCCCAACTTTCTGGAAACAGAACTGACAATGATCTTTTTTATGATCTGCTCGGCTACGGTTCAGGAAGTTCTGTGAGTTAATTTCCAAGTGTGAAGGAAGTGAGATTAAACAGCTCGTCTGTTCTGCTCGGAAATGCTGAAAGATTTCACAGAAAACTGCAAGAACTGACGGCAAACTCACACCTTTTTTGGCGGTTTGACTGCTCCTCTGAAAGATCAACATGTTTGATTTAGTTTAGCTAGATGCTGTTACTGTATTATTATCACCCATCTAACCTTCCATTGTCTTCTACTTGGTGAACCGCAGCATTCCTCTGCTTAGTGACGCCATCCTGCTCATGATGCTGGATGTTAATGTTCTCTCAGGACAGCAGAAATTTCTTCTGTAGAACCTTCTCTGATGGTTCCCCCGGCAGGCTGGGACTGGTTATCTGTGATCCCGGGCATTTGCCCAGTGGGCCGGTCCTAATTTCAGCGTGCGAGGGTCGACCCTCCTTAAATCATAGCGACCCCAACATTTACTCTCCAGCTGAATCTCCTACCTGTGACAGTAAATAACTCAAGGAGGTGAAGCAGTAATCCAATGCTAACTCCCTAAATGATGCTCATCCTTGTCACGGTTGGCATATGGTGTCATTTTCTATTTCTTCAAACTGTAAAATCCTTGCAACAAACTAAATTATAATAAAACTTAAATGCTTTCTTTAAGACAAACTACAATGTTCCTCTTGCATTTGACGAATTTATGTTTGAATATTTAGCAAAAATATGTTGCGGTGCATGATGGGGTTTTGCATCTAAAGGCTAACGTTTCCCGTCTTACGTGCATTGTTGCCAGGTTGGGATGTTTCCCAATCTGGCAGTCTAGGATGGCCGTCTATGGGTGAAAAAAATTTTTTCTTTAGATTTATGGCCTAAGAAATCAATAGACTTTGGTTCAAATTGGGCGAGATTTCGTATATCCAGGCGGTTTATGAAGATTTTTTGGGCTGGAAAACGTTACAGGTGCTGGTCATAAAATTAGAATATCATGAAAAAGTAGATTGATTTCAGTAATTCCATTTAAAAAGTGAAACTTGTATATTATATTCATACATTACATACAAACTCATATATTTCAGATGTTTATTTGGTTTAATTTTGATGATTACAGATGACAACAAATGAAAATCTCAAATTCATCATATCAGAAAATTAGAATATTACTGAAGACCAATAAAAACAAAGGATTTATAGAAATGTTGGCCAACTGAAAAGTATGAACATGAAAAGTATGAGCATGTACAGCACTCAGTATTTAGTTGGGCCTCCTTTGGCCTGTATTACTGCAGCAATGCGGCGTGGCATGGAGTCGATCAGTCTGTGGCACTGCTCAGGTGTTATGATAGCCCAGGTTGCTCTAATAGTGGCTTTTAGCTCTTCTGAATTGTTGGGTCTGGTGTATTGCATCTTCTTCTTCACAATACCCCATAGATTTTCTATGGGGTTAAGGTCAGGAGAGTTTGCTGGCCAATTAAGAACAGGGATACCATGGTCCTTCAACCAGGTACTGGTAGCTTTGGCACTGTGTGCAGGTGCCAAGTCCTGTTGGAAAATGAAATCTGCATCTCCAAAAAGTTGGTCAGCTGCAGGAAGCATGAAGTGCTCTAAAACTTCCTGGTATGTGGCTGCGTTGACCCTGGACCTCAGAAAACACAATGGACCAACACCAGCAGATGACATGGCACCCCAAACCATCACTGACTGTGGAAACTTTACACTGGACTTCAAGCAACGTGGATGAAGTGCCTCTCTTCTTTTCCTCCAGACTCTGGGACCTTGATTTCCAAAGGAAATGCAAAATTTACTTTCATCAGAGAACATGACTTTGGACCACTCACCAGCAGTCCAGTCCTGTTTCTCTTTAGCCCAGGCAAGACGCTTCTGACGCTGTCTGTGGTTCAAGAGTGGCTTGACACAAGGAATGCGACAGCAGAAACCCATGTCTTTCATACGTCTGTGTGTGGTGGTTCTTGAAGCACTCACTCCAGCTGCAGTCCACTCTTTGTGAATCTCCCCCACATTTTTGAATGGGTTTTGTTTCACAATCCTCTCCAGGGTGCGGTTATCTCTCTTGCTTGTACACTTTTTTCGACCACATCTTTTCCTTCCCTTCGCCTCTCTATTAATGTGCTTGGACACTGAGCTCTGTGAACAGCCAGCCTCTTTAGCGATGACCTTTTGTGTCTTGCCCTCCTTGTGCAAGGTGTCGATGGTCGTCTTTTGGACAACTGTCAAGTCAGCAGTCTTCCCCATGATTGTGTAGCCTATAGAACTAGACTGAAAGACCATTTAAAGGCTTTTGCAGGTGGTTTGAGTTAATTAGCTGATTAGAGTGTGGCACCAGGGGCCATCAATTTTGAACCTTTTCACAATATTCTAATTTTCTGATATGATGAATTTGAGATTTTCATTTGTTGTCATTTGTAATCATCAAAATTAAACAAAATAAACATCTGAAATATATGAGTTTGTATGTAATGTATGAATATAATATACAAGTTTCACTTTTTAAATGGAATTACTGAAATCAATCTACTTTTTCATGATATTCTAATTTTATGACCAGCACCTGTAGTCAGTGATATCTGGCAACCCTGCTGATGTGGTGAGTGTGGA